GTCTCGTTGCCCTTGCTTAATTTCAAATTTGCCTTTTCTTGCTGAATAAATAAGTGAAAATAAATAAATAAATAAACGAATTGAACTATTGCTCATAAAATTTTGAGATTCATTTATGAAGAAAGTATAAATTTATATACATAAAGATATCTGTTGTTTAGAAATTCCTTCGCTTTCCTGCTAGTATAAAATTTTTAAAATTTTGATTTAAATTAAGTGACGTTTATTCAGTATTATACACATGGTTTCTGTGCTGCAGTAACCGACGTGAATACATGAGAGGAGAAAGGTATTAGTGCGCCCATATATTTATAATTTTATGACGTCGGAGATTTGCGACATATTCGGTGAAAATATATTCAGAAATCTAATTTTAGTTGTTACGCGATAAAATTGACGTCACGGAAGTATTTTTGCTTAAAATCAATAAGTATCTATACTTCTGCTTCAGAGCAGTAAGTTAATATCTGGAGGGTACCAGAAGTAGCTGGAAAGGATTCGCGTCTTGTTTTACATAAAAAGTCTTCATAATTTACTTTGTTGCCCTGGGAAAATATGTCGCTGCAATAAGTTACAAAATTTTTGGTTGATAGGTTTGTTTCTAAATGACGACGTAGGAACCTGCATAATCCGTAGAGCAGAACTCGATGTTAGTGCGCATAAAAGCATAAGAATTATTACTGAAGTAGAAGGGAATTTTAAAATTATGGTGCTAAGCCATGATGAGGGGGTACGCGGTAGCATAGTTGGCTGAGGGGCTATGCTACAAGCCGGAAGGTCGCGGGTTCAAGTCCCGATGAGGTAATTGGATTTTTTCTTCATTTTACCTAATCCTTAGAGCCGCACTATGGCTCTGGTGTCGACTCAGCCTCTAACAGAAACGAGTACCAGGAATTAATTAAATAATTTTCCTGGGGAGTAAAGCGCGGACAGTGCGTAGGGCTGAAAACCTTACCGCCATCTTTGAGCCGATTGTCTAGAAAATGTGGGCACCTCAACGTCTCACAGCCCTACGGCCCTCCACGGCCTGTTACAGGAATAGCTTTACTTACTTTTTTACCCATGATGAGGGAATATTCCTGTGCGTACATCATAATTTGCGCACCAATATGTTACTATTAATTTCAGTGAGTGTGCTGAGTGGGTTCGGATGTCGATTATCGATTCTCGGCAAGAAGCGAGTTAATGTCGACATATTGTTGCTTTCCCTTTTGTCTGATGTGCTGTCGAGTATACTTTCCATTCTTCTTGGGCCCCACGCGCGTGGCACAGTATCACATGCTCGGTTATCGATTGTGATCATCAATTATTCATCAGTAGTCCGCCATAATAGCCTGGCTGCGCGGTATGTCCACATGCAACGCAAATATAAGTAAGGTTTGTGGCAAGAAACAGATACTGTAATGTCTGCAGGATACACACGTTACGGCCACAAATTTTAATTTATTACTGCCAATTGTCTTTCTGCCTGAGTTTATCTTCTAAACATTTATGTTATGCCTAAAGTTATACCGTATATTCTGTTATAACGACAATTTTGGCTAATGCAGACATGCCCGAAAATATGTAACTTTCTTAGTTAGAGCGAACTCCCTTTTGTGCAAACTCCATGCCTTAAATTTTTAGAAGGAAATGTTTGCTCGCGCTCATTGTTCCATTTTCATGCAGGGTGCAGCACTCGTCACCATGAGGTTTCGCTACGTAACGCATCAAAATTGGGTGTAATCATCAGCAAATCTCGTGATACAAGACATTGTCATAATTGAACATTAAGCACGATAACAGGGCCTTTAAACTATGGAAGCTGTGCTTAACATATTTTCACGAGAAAAAATAAACAGTTCATTGATTTCTTATATTTTTTTCTCTTGTAAAATTCTCTGATACAGGTGGAGGAATGGCATCCAGTATTCCGTTTCTGACAGTTTTGTTAATTTAATTTTATAGCGCAATTACATGTCTGTTTGAAAGCTCAGGCTAAGATGAATTATAAAGATTTATTTACAATAAGATGATAAAAGATGTTACCGCTTAAACGGATGGTCAGGATTATTCCACAGGCCTACCAGTAATTTGGATTTTTTTTTTTAATAAATCTCTCTTACCTTTACATGTTAAAAAAATTACAATATGTCCCTCAGGCAATGTTCTCAGAGTTACAGTTCCTCAGGGCGAAACAAATTACGTCTGCACTTTTCATATTTAATATTTAATTCCATTTTTGAAGGTCAAATTATATACTGCTTCCCGAAAATTTGTTTTCTTTCGCTACTACACAAAGAAAAAGGCCAAAAATGCATAACGATATACACAGTGCAGATTTCCCACAGTAAGAAGTAGATATTACTGTGCTTTCATATAGTTTAGTTAGAGGATATTCCGAGTAGAGGCGCTTGTGCTAAGAGTAACATATTTATGTAACGCAAAATGAAACGGATTCTCTTGGGAAATACATTGCAGTTTCTTTATTATTTAAGGTAAACACATCCCGCATGTGGTTTAAGACACGGTCCAGTGGTGACATCTTTTGAAAACAATATTGAACCGTAGGTTTTCAAAAATTTTTTAGTCATTTTGAGCAGCGGAATTATTATCATACTCGTTTAATAGTTATTCAGTTGGTTAATTTTTTTTTGGTTAGTGGGGGTGGAGTCCAACTGGGTCCACTCGGCACGGTGGCCACTGATTGGCCTATTGTAGCCTGCCCCGGGTGATTATTATGATGGAGAATTTGGTGGAATGAAGATTGGCAGGGGAAACCGAAGTACTCGGAGAAAACCCTAGTCAGTTGGTTAGTTACACAAGATTATTCCAAAGTTATATTCACGGAATCTGGCGAAGGATTATTTCTTCACATTAATGAAACAGCAATTAAAACAACATTTTAATATACAGTGAATTTTCTTGACAATGCTTCGTTAAGTCAGCACATGTATTATAAGACGGCCCGGCTAAACGGCAGAAGCGTCCGGCAATTCTGGCTGAGTGCTTGCCCACCAAAGAATCCCACTGTATTTGGCAGTTATCATGTTACAGAATCAAGGATAAATGCCGGTTCTACAAAGTGAAACTACTTTAAACTTAAGCTTAAGAGACACTCTATGTTAAGGGGTGTAATGGCTCATTATCAGAAGAGGTTCTACACTACGACATCGAAAGACAAGACACATACTTACCCAGGCCGATATAGAGGGCGAGCCAGCGGGGCCATTTGGCTCAGGGCTCTGGCCTAGGGGGCCCCAAATACACTCTTATTTTATTTAAAAAATTAAATATTGTTGAATTACGTCAAATACCTATGAATAATTTGTAAATCGTAGAACATTGTTAATAATTTCTGTTCTACAATTTCAAATTTACTTTAATTAAAGGCATAAAATCTGATTAAATGTACTCATACATTTGTATGGTTTTCGTAGTGGGGTGGGGGCCCCATATTTGTGGGTGGCCCGGGCTCCGTCTCACCTCTCTCAGGCCCCGTACTTACCCGCTGTGCAGAGTCGAGAGTCTTCGTCATAGCCGTCGGGGCAGTCTGGCGCGCCATCGCACAGGTACTGAATGGAAATGCAGATCCCGTCGCCAGGACATCTGAATGGCTCGTAAGGGTGACACGCGTCGCCTGCAACGAAGCAAGCAAAATTATATTTCGTTATTCAGTCGTAAATTATCAGCATTCGTCAACATGCACCTGAGTCCTCGCTTTTCAGATGAATAATTTCATTTAATAAAATTCGATGTAGATTATGTACTTCGATGAATAATGAGTCTGAACTCGTGGAGCAGAGTCATTCTCGAGCAGTTACCGGTCAATCTGATATTGTAGGAGCTCCTGCCGTTTATTTAAAGTCCATCACCGTATTGACCTGAGCTTGCCAATGGTTACTCTTTTGAGCGAGTTGAGCCCACATCACAACCTTCAATCCTAGTTCTTTTTTAGATTCATTAAGATATTCGTATTATCCTGCATTCTATACCTGAATCTTCAAGACTCTCTCTCCTTCAGTTTATCGGCCAGTGTTGTGAATGTGGAAATTCAAACAACGGAAATTCTACTTGAATTCTCCACATTCCACATATAACTAGGCCTTTAGATTATTTACCGGAGCTAGAAATATATTCCATCAATTTCTAGTTATTAGGTAATACAGTCGATAGAGTTTGGACTTCAGGGTTACATAATATAAATTAGTAAGATTAAAGTAAGTTGTATTCTGTGTATGAGATGATACTTAGAACAGTCGCAGGTTGCAGAATGACAGTTCATAATCTTAATGAAGAACCCGAAATATCGTATAGGCCTATGATTACTTTCAAAATAATGGATACGACATTTGAAAATAAAGCTTCAAAAAGAATCTCTAAGCCGCTTATACAAGTAACGACTGAGGATGCCAGGAAAACTACGCATATTCACTGAAGAACTGTAATATACATGTAGCCGGAGCAGTCCTAGATTTTCATTCTAGGTACTGTAGTTAGTTAGTTATTGGAGAGGGTGGGTTTCCCCATGCACTTAGACCTGTATTGGTCCATTGTGCTTCCCTCTATGATATTCTACCAGTCTCTATATCCTACCTATATTGGTGCGTACCATCAGTCCCGACCGAGCCAGCGAGTTCGGCCTCCACTAGCTTGGCGGTATCTATAATGCTTCCCCCATCTATCAGAGGTGTTAGAGACTACTTGTTGGGCGGGAAACGTCCTTGAATTTGGCTCAGTGACTTCCTTTGGAGATATGAGGTTCGTTTACGTGCCGTAAAGCTACGAGACGGGACACACGGCTTAAAGTCCCTCCCGGAGGACTTGTTCCCTGAATTTTTCCGCCCTTAAAAATTCGATGACCTCCGCCGAGTTTGAACCCGCGTACCACGAGTCATGAAGTGGGAACGTTACCTCTAGACTACGGAGGCCGCTGTCGAGATATTGTAAGTGGTGATGATGTTGATATTTCTATGAGCAATGTTCTAGAGTTCCAAAGTCATACCGGGTCTCTTTTGCAACCTTGTTACTGAACTGCGCATGTCTGTTAGACATTCTGTTTATGTCTGTAACACCGATCGAAGTCACAGAGTCTACCGGAAGTAGGATGTTGCTGGGTGCTGAATAGGAAAGCATATGGAAGCGACTGTGTCCTTTCTTTAGGTCACTTCACAGGATTCTCTTGCAGTAGATACGTAAAGGTCACGAAAGAATCTGATACGGGATTGCCAGTATCAGCGTCAGATTCGAACCCGGGCCTCCAAGAAATGAGACAAGTGCCAAGTTCTTGATTGCAGTGTTCTTTAGTTGATGTTGAAGGTATGCGCGAAAAACAAAGATGCTTGCCGAGCTTTTGTCATGGAATATATCTCGAATATTTATTCGTTTTTTCCTTTCAAAATTTCTAATTTTAAAACTTAATTAAATTGGGTTTTGGCTTTGTCAATTTTAATCGGAACGTAAAAAAAAAAGCCTGAAACTTAAATTAGTAAATATATGAACTGCAAAACCAGCTTCGTGAAATACGAATATCGAACGCAAATTATTTTCACTCTTTTGTGTTAACTGAGTGTTTAACTGCTCATAACGTGCATAGTATCCAACTAAACTGTACAATAAGTATGCTTATCTATGAAAACCGCTTCACTGGCTACAGTATTATTGATTTATCCGTGATTATATCAGGGATTTTGTGTGTAGTAAACCACATACCTGGCCTGACAACTATTGTGCGGCAGATGTGGGGGATGAAGACTACATATAATCAACAATGCCCAGGGCGGGATTAAAACGAGAACCCAACAGCACTTCTCTTTATTAACAAACTTATCCGACTCCAGTGGAGTATAAGCCCTAGATAAATGTTAAACTACCAGTACAGATACCCTTCGCTAAAGCACACAATTTACCTCATACGTTTACAGAGTACTGTACATACATAGCCAACTAGAATGTGTCCGTAAACACCCTGTGGCTAAGCAAGCGGACCAGTGACGTCACGTATTTCTCACGCACGCCAACGTGTGAAGTTGTTTCATCTTAATGAAAGAATGATAGATTGATATTTTGGTCTCCTGGGCTATGACACCGTATGTCGGCGCTATATATGTCATTTAATAATAGCGTCCTTAAAAAAAAACTTGCCATTTTGTGGCATGGCGTGTCATG